CAAAGGTATAAATGTTAGAAAGATGTTAGGAAATTTTTAATTCTATAAATCCTGAAAGTCTCCTTATAGTAGTAATAATAAATAGTTCTTTTTTTTTTTTTTTTTGAGGAATGGCTTGAAAATATTCTAACTCTCATTAAAATATTCTATCCCTGATTAAAAAGCCCTCAGAGATATTGGTTTGAGTAGACTAGAAATATTTAGAAAATCTTTTTATTGCCTCCATCCATTTGGTAAACCCTGTTTCATTTCCTGTTACTTTCCTGAAGTAAATACCAGATGCCTATGAACCAGGGAAAAATTTTGAACCCTTCTCATCCCAGAACATGAATAGAAGAGAGGTTTAGATAAAGAACAAACACTGAGACTCATTGCTATTAGACTGCCAAAGTAACAAGGCTGATTTCTCAAAGCAGAACTTTTATACTGCATCTGAAATACTTAGTGCATTCCTCTGAAGATGAGTGTATCATAAAAAGTTTCTTTGCAATATCTTGTAATAGAGTATGRCATACTGCTCTTGCATGCATTAGATTCAGTTCCTAACAGTGTTCTGACTGTGTTAGGAACGTAGCCTTAAGAGTAATGATGATTCTGTGTTGCATAGCAAAAACTTGGGTAAAAAATTTAAGTAATAGTAAAAGACAGAAAGATAACCTTTCCTTTCCTTCATTCTTACTTTCCCCAGGCGAGTTCATGAGTCTATTGAGTCAAATAAGACACTTTCTCACCTGAMGCTCTTAGAAGAGAGGTTATAAATACTTTAGATAGTTCCTCAGATGAAGACAAGCATGAAGAACATCCTGAATTGCGATGTAATGAAATCATTAAGAAACAATTCCCCTCAGACTATCAGAAGGAAGGTAAAAAATCCTCTGAATATGAATAGGGATTTACCAATAGGCATGTGAATGTGTAGATCCAAACATTCTACAGTTTTCATAGTTATAATTCTCTCGTCCTCAGAACCGATATCACTCAGTAGGACAGTGAAAGAATAGGAACCACTGCTAAAAGTTAATGAAAAAAATGCATCTGTTACTCTTAAATTTGTCCTAATGATGGCTTGCCACCTCAGCTTGACCTTCCACTGCTTTTGTCCCATAGAGGGCAGTGTCATGCAATTAATAACTTTTCAGAATTGCAACTAAAACCAGCAGAAAACTGAATTGGCATGAAGTGCAAAGCTAATGTTATGTGGGTAAGAATGAATGTGTGGCTTTGGTATAGAAGTGCTGTAAAAAAGAGGAAAGGAGACACTGGGCTTAAGGACAAAGAAGGATAGCAAAGAAGGAAATGTGGAGCCTGCAGTAGGATGCAAAGAGTCCACAAGAGGTGAGAAACCAAAAATGYGGATATGTGTGGCAGCCAGGATAGTCACTTTTTTGCAATCAATGCGCATGCACAAGCAGGATTGATACTACTAGCCGAAGCAACAGATCTTAACACCTAATGGAACATTAGGTTCCAAAGGCTGGGGATTTTGGCATCACTCCAGATTGAATAGCAATGTAGTCACTCAGTATGTGTAATGTGTTGGTAGAAATAGCTTCAGTAAAAGAAAACAGCAGATCCGTGGCCTCTAGCCTTCTCTACACTGAGACAGATTTCTTCCAGTTGTCATACATCTCTATTTTATTAATACATGTATATAGGATTGAAAAGATCATAGAATGCCTGGATGCAGACTGATTTTCTGCCTTGGATTTTTTTTTTTTTTTTTTTTTTTTTTTTTTTGAGCAAACACATTCCAATGATATCAAAGAAATGCCAAAGCACCAGACAGATTAAATGACAGGAGAATGCAGAAAACAAAACAATAATTCATGGAATGGCATATGCAAAGTTGACAAAGTTCAAACTATGATCTTTTCATGCCAAGTATGTATCCAGAAAAAGATATAGCGAAACAAGCTCCAGTGCCTGGGTCTGGGGTCAAACCTCCTGTCCGTCTGCCTTTCTCAGCTGCCTCTTGGTTGTTTCAAGCACACGATGTGCAGAGCTTGCATTTTGTACTCCAGTTTTGAAAAGACTTTGTGCTACTATGCAGAAGATGAGGTTTCTTTTCCTTTCCTTAGGTACAGCTGTAGTCAAGCAAATAAAAATGAGTCTTTCATGCTTCTTAAAGGGGTGTTGTCTTATAGGAATTTGTATTGTTGAACCCAGCCAGAGAAAGAAGAAGCTTTTACTTGTATATTTTGTTTATGTACTCATATTTAACATTTTGTCAAATGTAAAGACACTCTCACTTCCTTTGTAAATATTCTTTGACCATTTTCTTYTCAGCAAAAGCTTTTTTTCATATTTCAGTATTTCACTGTTAAAAAATGACCTAGAGTTCTTGTAACTGCATAAAGACTTTTTGCTTTATGGTTAGGATGCCAAGTACAAATTGATTGCTAACATGTCTTACATGTATTTTATGAGGAAATGTGATCAGTATTACCTGTTATTAGCAACACCCTTTACTCAGAAATCAACATGACAAATGCAACCTGTCAAAACAGAATATAATGTGGTAAAATATTGTAGGAAATCAATCAAAATCTGCCTGGGAGCAGAACTGAGGCCCATTTTATGGTTAACTGCACTACATTTAACATCTGCTAGAATTTATATAAATATTCATCTCTATATATTGTAAGAAGCTCCATTGACTTCCATCATCCAAACTTAAACATGCATAATTTTTTATAGAACTGGGACTTAATGTAGCAATGCCTGCAAGTTTTGAATGTTTCTTTTTTGCTTAGATGGATCYGTTGAAATTAATTCCCTTAACATTTAGTATTAATAATATCTACTTCATTTTATGTCTCTTAAATTCTCCAAGAAATATACATCACTGAAACAGCTTTTACAAAATTAATCTGTAATTACTTATAAATAGTGTTTGGGAAAGTTTCCCATTCCAAAGAGTTCTGAAGGGCAGACAGAAGACAGTCCAGAAAAAACAGATGGATTAAATGTTAATAAGTGCTACTTTTGTAAGTTTTGGGTTGTATTCCATGGTGGAGACCACAGAGCTAAATGTGACTCCTCCTACTCATCCATTTTACTTGTGTCATAGATAGAGGAAAGGTTTTTTTTTCTAGTCTAAACAAATTATCCTACTAATATATGATCTTGTTTTGGAGGTTATTCAAAAAGATGAGAATCAATGGAAYGGATATTTTGGAGGTAATGAAGTAATTAAATGACTACATATTTTATGAAGAGGAATAATATRTGAATAAAACTAAGTTAGATTTGTCAGAAAGTTTTCCACCTTTAAAGTTTGCTTTCATTATTAAAATTTTCCAGTATTTCAGCACTGTGAATCCTAAGGTCTTCTACAAAACGTAGAAATTTTCGTTTATAACTATTTTCAGGGAGAAACTTAAATGTAATTTTTAGAGAGGGTTTCACACTCATTCTAAAACCAGTTCCCCACAATTGTATTGGTTATAGGTCTGAAAGGAGTTTG